TTCTTTTCCCCTTTCTCTTTCGTTTGCGCTACTACTTCAGGATGCGTTCAGGAACTATATAATGTCCCTTCGATCGTTTCTCCGCCTCTTCAATTTCCCTTTCTCGCAGAATTTCCCAGCGACCTCTCGTCCTTGCTCCTCCAGAAGAAATTTCCTCCTCCCCTGAGGTGCCGCTCTGCGGTTTCTGTGAGATACTGGCTCTGACTTGTTTAGACCTAAAAGCGTGCCCTCGTCGCCGATGATGAAGCGGGCGTTCTCGAGGCTCGGCACCATCACCGCCGGCTGGGGACGAAGCATCAAGAAACACGGGAGCGGGAACACGCTGCAAACGGAGGATCGGAAACGTTGGGCTAGCTCGCAGGATTGCAGCAGTACGTTTGCTATAATTATTATTTCTCTCGTATTTATTCTTCCGTCGAGGAACGTACGTGGGAATTCTTGGGCATTTCAGACAAAGAGGCGAAGGAGAAGGAGAAAGCAGCTCAACAGTTGGCGGTGCCGAGGCTCAGCGTGTGCGCCGATGCGCAGAAAGTCGACAGAGCGAAGCTCGCGCAGACCGAGGTAAAATTCGATTAATTCTGCCAGTTATACCGATTATGTCGCCAATCTTTGTTTTCGTTTGTCATCGTTTTTTTTTTATTTGAACATTGAAGTGTGCAACAGCCGACTCGAGGAGGGAAATTGGATGTTACATTAGGTTACGATCCTTTGATACCGATCGAGGAAACTGCAATGAAAAATATCGAGCCAACTTGTTGTAGTTTGGCAAGATTCGAGAGAGAGAAAGAAAAAAAAAGAATTCAGTAAAAAATGATTAGTTAGAAAATTCATTATTCATTCTATATAAATAACTTACCATTATTTTCAATAAAAGTTGAAAATGTTTATAGATCAATACATCCACTTTGACAATCCTGAGTTGATTTCTTTTTTCAGAGATGTTTTTGTATCATGTAGTGAGTGCGTACCTCATTTTTCTTCAGAAAATTCTAACGCGTGTAAGAACGTTAAAAAATTTTCCTCCCAACCAGATCCATCATCGCCTTAAAGATCAAAGTCCTCTCCTTTACAATGATCTCTCAAAACTCGTTGTGCGATTTTTTCCCTACTATTTTATTGAAGTTATTGAAATTCAAAAAATACTAACATCTAAATCTTAATATTCAACATTCCATAAAATAGTGAAAAAAAGAAATCGTATAGCAAATTTTAAGAGCTCATTTCAAAGAGAAGATCTCAATTTTTAAAATTATGCTAGATTTAGTATTTTATTGAAATTTTTTGTACTATTGTATTGAAATTCTAGAAATCCTAACTTTAATATTCCAACGTTCTGTGAAATGGTGAAAAAAAAAAAAAAAAAAAAATCGTCAAGATCATGGTGGATTGAATTATAAAGAAAACTTTTCAACGTTTTTACACACGTTTGAATTTTCACAATCTTCAAGAGGAGAAACATCTCATTTGCTACGTGATGTAAAATTATCACGACTCTGAAAATGGAGGCATCACGCTTCGAAAAAAAAACGAGGCAAAGAGTTCTGTCTTTTTTACATTCAGTTTAAATTTTTCACTGTCACATTTCTATTGGTACATTTATACTCTGTGGGCACATAATATAAAAGAGTATAAATTGCCCAATTTTGCATAAACATTCAAGCTAGCCGACAATCTCATTTCTCCTTAATCCCTTGTTAAACAATGAGATATTATTTTAAAGCAAATAGCTATTTAACTTTCCACTATTTTTCCATGACCGAACCGGGTTGCCCAATAAATTTGAGAAAATGATAAAAATATATTGTAATAAAAGGAGAATCTGTGTTTCACTTACAAATGCTCGACGCTTACCCGAGTTTCGTAAAATCTCTCGATTGTTAACGACACACATCGTTTCATCGCGCAGTTCGACATCATCGAGTTCGACCCGAAGACGTTCAAGATCCTGCTGAACTACCTGCAGACGGGCTCCTGCCCGTTGACCTGCAGCAACATCCCGGGTCTGATCTGCGCGGCGGAGCACTACGACCTGCCGGAGCTTCTTCAGGCGTGTTTCCACCACGCGAAGCAGTTCCTGCGGATCGAGATCGTGTGCGTGATGCTGTGCGCGTTGGAGAACTACTGTTGGCGATACACGTCCGCTTCGGAGCTGGTGAACATGATCCTCGCGTTCATCGAGACCAGGGCTTACCAGCTGTTCCAGAATCCGGACTTCCTCACGCTGAGCGAGTCGATGGTGCAGATGATCATGGGCAGGGGGCTGGAGGTGGGCGAGATCAAGAAGTTCGAGGCGATGCTCGAGTGGGCGAAGAACAGGATCAAGGACAGGAAGTCGAGCAAAGTGGACCCGAAGGTCGAGTTCAAGTGCATCATGGAGAGGCTGAGCAGAGACCTGAAATTGCACAGGATAACGCCCCAGGAGCTCATCAGGGTGAGAGTTCGCCACAATATAATTTCTGTGTCGTCGTCGTCGTCGTCATCTTCCTTTTCTGTCGTTTTAGATCGTTTTGCCGTCGAAGGCCATCAGAAACGAGAAGATCCTGGAAACGCTGATGTACCAGGCGAACTCTGGAATTTACAGGAACGTCGACAGCTACTTGGAAGCTTACCAGAAGAAGGTGCAGAATCAGGAGAGCTTCGACTGCGGCATGTAAGAGGCTGCATCTGTTCGATACAATTGTATCAACTTCCAATCGGCTCTCTCTCCAGTAAGTAGGAAAGTGGAGGAAGCAACCCGTACCTGAGGAGAGAGTAGGCTAGAACTTTGACTTGGCTAGTTTGCCGATAAGTGTGGACGATCTTGCGTGCAAGAAGTTCACCGTCGTTCGAGAATCCAATGATTGAAACGACGGCTGGCCATTTTTTCCGTGGATCATTTCGAACAGAGCAAACAGTCAAGGGGAATCACTTTAAAAAAAATTTCTATCGAAGAACATACACACACAAAAAAAAAAGGGAGAGACAGAAGTAGAAATTGGCAGCGAAGCAACCAAGTTCGAGAGAAGAGAACTAGTTTGGTCGATCAAACGAGAACTAGTTTCAGTCGCGCGAGGCAACAGAAAATGCACAAATTTCATACTGGTAGAAGAAGCAAAGCGGATTGCAACGATGTGGAGAGTAGGTCGGTCACTATGATCGCGCTATGATGATATTTTCTCAAATACGAACCAAGGGGACAAGTAGATGAAGGAAAGATTCTTCACCGAGAGAGAAAGAAAAGCGACGGAGGCTGATTGATGAGATGAGGAACGTTGACGGCAACGCGATGCCAATTATGACAATCTGTAAAAGAGAAATATAAACTGAAAAAGAAAAAAAAAAAATCGAAGACAAAGACAAAGATACGTGGGTGTCATATATGTATCAAGAGTGACGCTAATGATAACAATAATAATTAACGATAAATAATTGTAAAAAAAGTAATAATAATAATAATGATGATGATGATGATGATGATAATAGTAATAATAATAATAAGAGAAAATTAATGAATACGATGTTGATACTTGAGTGTGAAAAATTTAAAATGAAAATGAAGAGTAAGAGGGCTAGCGAAAAGAACAACAAAAATATTCGAAGTCTGTTCTGTTTTCTATCGTAGTTTTTGTATCTTCAATACTCTAAGGCATATATTCTAAAATTCGTAGGAACAGGTTGGGAGGGAAGATGGCGTGTAAAAAATAGAAAACAAAAAAAAAAAAAGAAAATACGGAAGATTGCTCGATCCTTTTTTTTGTTGTTTTTTTTTTCTTTTTTTTTTAAAGCAAAATTTCTTTTCGCTTTTTTTTTTTCTTTTTTAAGCAAAATTTTTTCGCGAGAAAGAGAAGGGAGAAACGAATGTATCGTTCGATAATTTAGCCTAACCTGGTTCCCCCCGAGTTTCGTCTCGACTGCGTTTCCACGAGAAAAGAAGAATCGAAGAGAGGAGAAGAAGAAGAGAAGAAGAGAAGAAGACACATATATATATATA